AGAATGTTAACCTTGGAAGAAATTTGCCGTATATAAGGCCAGAATGTTAACCTTGGAAGAAATTTGCCGTATATAAGGCCAGAATGTTAACCTTGGAAGACATTTGCCGTATATAAGGCCAGAATGTTAACCTTGGAAGAAATTTGCCGTATATAAGGCCAGAATGTTAACCTTGGAAGACATTTGCCGTATATAAGGCCAGAATGTTAACCTTGGAAGAAATTTGACAAAATCATGCACCAGTACTTTCAACTTTTGACTTGACTTTAAAACATGAAGACATGTCATTCCTCTTTTGTACTGGTTTCCAAAGCTCCAAACAAATCCGAGAGTTATATAGCTGAGACCAACACATGTACCACCCACTCCCTGTCTCAAAGATAACCATAATCCTTAAAACAAGGCTGCACAGAGGATTTCTTTTAATTTACAGAAAGTATTTGAGACAAGTGGAATTAATATCATGTGGATTTTCAAAAATCAAATTATGTGCTTGAATTTTGGCAATCAGAAAAAAAAACAAGTTCCATTCTGTCAAAACATTTGATTTTTCAAACTTGTACGCCTCTATCCCACATGACAAACTTCAGGAGAAACTTCATACATTGATCCATGGGGCTTTGTTACAAAACGTAGTGACCATAGATATTGTTACGTATCTATCTTCAGAGGTTAGGGACAAAATGAACACACACGCCATCTCAAATCTTCTGTTTGTTTGTTGGTTGTTTAACGCCGCACTCAGCAATATTCCAGCGGTCTGTAACCAATCGAGTCTGGACCAGACAATCCAGTGAATGACATCATGAGCATCGATCAACGAAATTGGGATACGATGATATGCATCCACCAAGTCAGTGAGCCTGACCACCCGATCCCGTTCGTCACCTCTTGCAACAAGCATAGGGGCCTTTTACGTCAAGCATGGGTTGGTGAAGACCTATTCTACCCCGGATCTGCACGGGCCTCACATCTTCTGAGGAACCAACATGTAAAATGCTGGACTTCCTCATTGATAACGTGTTTGTACAATTGGGGGTAAAACATTTATTAGACAGTTTCCATGGACACCATTTGCTTTCCCCTTTTGCTGATCTGCTTATTATGCATATGAATCGGAATTTCTCAGATTGGCGAAGTCATACAAGGCAATCTCGCCAAGAACTTTAACTTCAGCTTCAGGTTTATCGATGATCTGATATCGTTCAATACCGGTCAAATAGGCAATTCCCTTCCGCCAATTTACCCACCTGAATTAGAAATATAGGAGACCTCAACACTGCATGTCGAGCAATATTCCAAGAGGTCCAGCCTTTGATTTCTACATTTCACACCATTTGAAATATAATCGAACATGATCTTTCTACCAAGAGGGGCGGTCGGGTAACCTACTTGTTAAAGCGTTCGCTCTTCACGCCGAAGACCCGGGTTCGATTCCCGACATGGGTACAATGTGTGAAGCCCATTTGTGGTGTCCCCCGCCGTGATATTGCTGGAATATTGCTAAAAGCGGCGTAAAACCCCACTCACTCACTCACTCACTTCTACCTAGATTTCAAAGAGCGTCATGCGTCCCTTGCTTAAAAGTTGTTTGATCAAGGTTACAACATTCAATGCCTCAGTAACGCTTTCAAAAAGTGTAATGGTAGACATGTGGTGGGCATTTTATGCACCAGTAATAAAAATGATATCCGATGCAATTCCCAATTGAAATTGACTTTCCTTTGCGTGTGCTTGTGACGGATGCCACCGGTGGGGCAAGATACGTTCACCTTTTCGCGAAAACACCAGCATAACACTGGTATTAACACATGCTCATAATACAGTCGGAACCGTACTGCTTTTGGCAGAGATTATGAATATGGAAATGGTTTTGTCGCTTTTATTTACTTAATCAGACAAATTGATATTGCCTAAAGTTACAGACCGCCTCCGTGGTCTAGTGGTAGAGAGTCCGCCCGGAGAGCGGAAGGTCCGGGTTTCGATCCCCGGCCGCGTCATACCAAAATACGTTGAAAGATTGTACTAGTTACCCTGTCTGGCGCTCGGCATTAAGGGGCTAAAAGAAGGACTGGTGGGCTCGGAGTCAGTATACTGTGTCTGAGTGGGGTATTCATGTTAACCTGCGTCAAGGTATCTCAGTGAGCTAGCATTATAAATCGGCATCAGTCCGGACTAGTACAAGCAGCCACACACACACTTACACGTGCATGCACGTCGCTATATAAATGCAATAATCTTGGACGCGACGTTAAACCCAATTTCACCTCACCTCACCTAAAGTTACAGAAATAACGAACCAGAGTCATCACATAAATACAATAAGGTATTTCACGGAAGGCAAATAATATGCTCTTTAATAACTGTCGACAAAGGATGGTGAATAAATTGAGAAAATGTCAGTTTCAGTATGAAACAAACAAAATCAATATTGCTATGATTAATACAGATATTCAGTTACCTTATTGTGCTTCAGCAGTTTGCAAAGTCTGACGTCCAGCTACTCGTCATCAATGTCTTATCACACTAGGTCCCCGACACGATTGATAGAAATATTGTAACAAATCCAATCAGAAACCACCTCCGTTGAATATCACGTGGGTTTTGTCACTTTGATGAGCATTGTAATAAGGTGTCCATTGAGTACATGTGACATGTGTTTCTCAGGTTGCGACTGTGCGCAAGGCCACAGGTCATAGAATATCACGTATACTATTGACAAGCGTCACGTTTTCCCTGTAATGTAATTGTGGTTGTGTATGTCGGCTGTAATAATTTACTGAAACACCTGATTCCGTTTTAGTAATGATAAAAGCATTCCCAATTTTGATGCAACTTTTTTTAAGCGGTTGTGAACGTTGGCTGGTGCATGTTCCGCTTACATGCCGATATTGTTGCCTTTGCTAAAAGTTAGAGAAATTCCATAATATATAGAGGTTATTCCTTTACGATAATTAGATAGGGCATAGCATGATTACCTGGTGTTATCACTGAATTTATGTATTTCATTATATTATTTTTAACTCTATTTTGCTTTTTACGCCAAATGGAATCTGTTTCGGCAGATAATCAGGACGGTTTTTTTATGGCGTTGACGTTTTATGTCATTATCAGTGGTCCGCTTACGGGGATGTATGCGCAGTGACAGGATATTTAGAGCTGTCAGTTCTCGATCTGGAAAAACGGTTTGGAATTCTTTTATCTTGGTTATTTGTAATGCCAATATATAACACACTTGCCTTATACAGTATCAGTAGTTTCCAAAGTCTAGCACCAATTAACTACAAAACGTCGACATCAAGTCATATTACTTCAGGGGGCGCGGGTGGCCCAGTCGTCTAAGGCGCCGCGAGTTGCGTCCCTTGGGCACGCCAGGAACCTATGATTGTGGGTTCGAATCCCGGTTCGCCCCGATTATGTTTCTAGGTTTGTCAGCACCATACCCGTGCTCGTGGATTTCACCGAAGTGGTAAACGTCTGAGACCTGCATCACTTCGGGCTTTCCTCCCACATTAAGCAGACACGCCGTGATATGACTGGAATACTGTTAAAAGCGGCGACAATCATAGGTTTCTGGTGTGCCCAAGGGCATTCCCTTGTACAAACTTGGAGCATTACGTGATCTATTGATTATAACCGTGAATATCATGCCATGTCTCCTTGAATGGCCCAGTCACCTTACAAACATTCAACTCTACACAAGCTCTCTCTAAGTACATACACAATATAAAGGCAAATCAGTTTCTCGCAGTTCATATTTACGTTTAAATGCGATTATCCGTCTTCAAAATATCCATTAATCAACACTGACGCCAGGAGCCAGAGGACTTTCCAGTCATAACCATCATGTTCTTCATGGCTTATACGCGTCGTACTCCACTGTGGTGATATTTTTATCATCCTCTAAAGGCGGTTTTCGTTATACTTACCTGAATATGCAGCCATACACCGGCACATCTGCTCCACCATAACCTACCTGATTACTATACAGTTCATGCTTGTACTTCCTGCCTCCGTACCATGAGATGTGACCGCCTTTGTGGTCTTGTGGTAGAGCGTCCGCCTGGAGAGCGGAAGGTCCGGGGTTCGATCCACAGTCGCGTCATACAAAAAGACGTTAAAAGATTGTACTTGTTGTTACCCTGTCTGGCGCTCGGCATTAAGGGGCTAAAACAAGGACTGGTCGGCTCGGAGTCAGTATACTGTGTCTGAGTGGGGTCTTCATGTTAAACTGCGGCATGGTATCTCAGTGAGCTAGCACTATAAATCGGCATCAGTCCGGAGTAGTACAAGCAGCAACACACACACATATACGTGCATGCACGTCGCTATATAAGTGCACTAATCTTGGACGCGACGTTAAACCCAATTTCACCTCACCATGAGATTTAGAGGTTGTGATAGTCACACTGCGAAAAACATATATTAAAACCATCATTTTAACGTCGAGACAAAGTACATTGTTTCGGTAACTACCATGATGTTATAATTACATGCTATCATTAACATTTATGGTAAAATTGATACTGAGTATCCATTTGCAAGCATCGCTTACCATAAGTTACAAAGCAATGCAAATTGTATGATATTTTGTTAATTGGTTTATGTCTGGATCATCATCACATCGCATTAAACAGCCGTGCATAATTTGAAAAGGATGAGTGATCAAACGCTATTTCCAGGTTTTTTTTGTTAATTAAACATATTTTGTTGCGGAAAATCAAATGCATTAGGCACACGTGACACACTTACGAGGCCTTCTCCTATATACATTTCTTTACAATGTAATATGTGAATAATGATAGAGCAGAATAAATGTACAGTGCATAGAAATATTATTTCCAGTGTGTTTGCTCCATTTATTTTCCTTAATTCTCCATTTGAATTGGTGCTTTCTAGACTTGATTATGCAAACAGTCTACTCTTGGACTTACAGAAACTTCAAAAGGTGCAAAACACAAAGGTTCTCCCATATCAAACCAGTTTTAAAGGCACAGTACAGGCTTCAAGTCCAGGTTTGAGTCCAGGGTCGAGTATAAATTCTTTGGCTTACCTGCAAACAGCATACCTGTCGACACTTATAAATCCATACCAGCCACAAAGATATATAGCTGCGATCAGAAGATTCACAACACTTGCCTGTTTTACAACCTAAACTCAAAGGCTATATGTAGGTGGAGAAATTGTTCTGGGGCACTGTGCCACGTACCACTTTACGATTCTATCTATATAAATTGATTGTTCAACTGCAGCGCTTTGGGCATCCATCGAGTGTATTGAGGCGAGCGCAACGAAGTACTTATTATTATTTACAGATTAATACAAAAAGATGCAGAAAAGAGGGTTTGGGTGATCCTGGCACGGTCAGGCTGGTTAGGCTCATCATCAGCTCAGGGCCCTTGCCCCCTCTACACGCAGTCCAGACAGCGAATGGGACTTCTCCCAGGAAGCGTCCAGTCAAACCCACCAAGAACTTTTCGGAGAAGTGAAGACTCCCCAAGAATGCAGCCTTCTGCATTACCAAGATTGTCAGAAGGGCTGTATTCCTGGTAGCAAACCCGGGTACTCTCCCAATGTCAGTCAATAGATTGGGAGGTACCAAACGTAAGGCACCGAGAACAATGGGGAATCGGACAACTTAGTACTTGGGATGCAAGCGTGACATTTCGAAAGCGAGGTCCGCATATTTGCCATGTTTTTCCTGAATCTTGTCAATCATAAAAGTGTCAAAAGGGACAGAAAATTCAATAATATAAATGATTTCATTTGATTTATCAAAAAAGATACTTTTGTATTTGTGTTGGACAGTCTCATTAAATTCATTGCATAATCTATATTTCATATTTACATTTTGATGCAAAATCACACATTGACAGTTTCGTGTGGGAAGTGACTGGTCCTGAGCAGCAAACAGAAAGCCTTCTGTCTCACTTTTCTGGCCAGTCGACTTCATCCAAGCGAAGGACTCTGCGGGGTTGCTGACCTTCTCAACACACTGCACATAAACTTGATGCAGTGGTCGCTCAGATAGCCTCTCCTTGAGTCTGGGCCCATTTGATATGGCACTTCGTTTTGTTGACACTCCTTTCTTTGCCGTCCAGCAGTACAGAACCATCAACAAAATCAACACCGACATTGCGAGTATGTTCCCCGTCCTTTCCTCGTTGAAGAAAACTGTGGAATACCTTGTTTACATCATAATTCTTGACATGAGGATCATCAGACAAATAAATGTGTACAAAAGTGCACAAAACAATTCTATCATGAAGTGCCACCACGTTAATCGAACCACTCCCTTCCCTTATAACTGGCACATACAAGCGATTGAGAGAAGAGCGACCGGGGCGGGATCTATTGTTTGACATGATCCTTCGTGTCAACACCCTGAATTTCTTGTTTCGTCCAATCAACAACACCAAAGGAACCAGATAGGACGGGCACGGCATACATATTTGTGGCTTTGACTTCATTGCGACCCTTCAGATTTGTACTCCAGATTTTCTTAAGTCTACATTTGTATTCAGCCCGAAGTTTGCCTTTGATAAGGGCATTCTGGATTTTGTCTCTAACCTGCATGGCGAAGTACGTGAATACCTATCCTTCCACCAGATGGTCAAGAACATTCAAGTGACTTCAAAATCCATAGCAGTCAATCCAGTACATTGAGAGGTTACGTTAGTAAGTTTTAGCTTCTTCAAGGATCATTTCTTGAACCAGTAATCGGTAATGACAGATTTGAGTATAAAATGACATGCACAAAATATACAATGGATCATCAGAAAGATCATCGACATAAGAGGGATCGGAAGAGGAGGAAAAGTCAACATCGTCGAGGCCAACATCAGGGATTTTATATTGTAAGCCCATGAGTGGGTCATCAGTGACAACTGCATCAGGTAATTTAGGGAGAACAATGTGAACGTCAATTTGTAATTTCAGGTCTGTTACTGTTTGAAATGAGGGTTGGTTGGTTGGTTGGTTTGTTGGTTTGTTGTTTAACGCCGCACTCAGCAATATTCCAGCTATATGACGGCGGTCTGTAAATAATCGAGTCTGGACCAGACAATCCAGTGATTGATATCATGAGCATCGATCCACGCGAATATTCTGCTGTCAGGTATGCATACATTGGCATGGCGTTGTCCCAATGCTGCTTCATTTATTCGTGGTATTTCTGGCCATCCTTTTGCTTTCCCACTCTCAAGATGTGTGGACTTGAGTTGGTACGTCCAAGATATTCTGAGATGGGTTCTTTGCCCCGTGGGGCAAATCCCATTTCAAGATTGGTTTGTTTGTATACTGGAGGGAGGCTGACTCGGCTGCGGGGTTACAAAATGAGTATGTGTGCGATTATCGAACATAGGAAACGGTCTTTGAGTTGTCTAATTTATTTCATGGTACAAACTTGATAATTGCCATTTTTTCTACTGTTTCAGCATGCGGGCCAATCAGATTCCTGAGTACCCTTACTAAAAGCCTGTTTCATGCTGGAAGTTCCCTTGAAATCGCCGTTATGCAAGAGAACGCTGTTCCCATGGCTATTATCATACTGAATATCAAATACAGGTAGCTCAGGGCTCCATAGTTATTGCATAGAATGCCTCCAACGAAGAGGAAAATCATGTCATCTCCTCCGGATGCCAGAAAGCAAGGCGAAGTTATTTTCGGATGAAGCTGCAGAAATTCTGTGACCCAAGCAAGAACCCCGCCGATGTAAGCCCGGAAAAATAGCCAACAGTCACCGAAAGAACCCATAGCGCATGGGTAACTGTGCCCTAGATTTACGAAGATGATACCAACGACTACTGGACCTGAGAGATGAGACGCAATGACCTTGAAATTGCTGCACTGCCTTAACAGGAACACACATACGATTTTACTAAGGAGTGATCCCATCCAGAAGAGTGATGTCACTCTTATACATGTGCTAAGGCCCTCGAACACCGAACACGGTCAACATGGCGGAGTACGTTGCTGGGAGGGAGCTAGAGAAGAAGTACATAACAAACAGTTTGACAGACAAAAATTGGTTTTAAGGTGAACAGTTCGTGGTGATTCAGCTCTGTGTACTCAGAAGACTTTTTTTCTTCTTTAGTTCCCTCACTTCGATAAACCAACCAGCTGTACAAGTGAGACAGAACAGCAGGAAGAATGCAGCAGCCAAGAAGCCAAAGAAGGCCAATTCCACTCCAGTGTCTCGGCCGTGCACACCGTACTCATGTCTTTAGCATGCTCAGTAATAATAGCCGGTTGAATTCCGGATGTACACTGACAGAGTGTGGTTGAATGGTGTGTCAGTTGGAACAATCAGTTTGGAAGACGATTCGAGTGGAACTGTGTGGTACGGACAGAGGAAAGGCTTGGCAATTATTGGAGGTATAACTGCCCCGAGTGAGGTACCACAAGAAACAAACTGGAAGGGTGGTCCTTTCTTTTCCCACAGATGCTCACATATCTGCATCACAACTGAAAAGAGCAACGATGTATTTGATCAGATTTTCTTTGTTGATCATCAAGTGGAAATTCACCAAATATTTTAGCAGTATTTTGATCTTGTTTCTATGGAAACACAAATGGCATCTAAATTTACTCAGGGATGTGTGCAAAGTTTCTTGAACGTATGTGATTTATGTACCGGCTGCCACCGACACAGATCCGACCATCAGGCTGAGGGACAGCTGGAGACGAAGATCAAACCTGGAGGCCAGGAAGCCAGCAGCCAAAGACCCCGGCATCGACCCCTGACAACTGTCGAAAAACAGGTAGGACAGGGAATTCAAGTCCTGCTGGGGGAGAAGCTGCAGGTCCAGAAGTGTAGGGCCTAGGTTACAGTTGTTGATGCCCTAAAAAAGTCAATGTTTCATTCAGTGCACTTGATGATGTCCTGAAATTGGATGGATCATTAAGTACACATCTTGATACTGATACTGATGAACAGTACTTTAAAGGGCCAATACACTTGGATTTGATAATAATCACTGTAACAGTCAATAAATTCGTGGAATACTTGAAACAGTCATTTTCATGGTTAGTGCACCTGCTGAAAAAATTACTTCCGCTTCTTTCTGTAGGACTGTAACGCCGTCATTTCAACTGCCTGGTCCGTTGCCTTTATGACATTCTGAACGTATCACTTACAGGGCAGTGTCATATAATGAGAGACTGGAATTACTTAATAGTTCCACAGTCATCGGCATTGAATACGAAGTATGAGAAGGAAGAAAAATAGTAGTTTTAACAACTTGGATCGCTTTTTCGAGAACTGTCATTCTGTCCGACCCTACTGTCGCTTTAAATCTTGCAAACAGTTGTTGCCTAATAACAATGCCAAAGTACAAATAAGCCATATTGAACCTATCACCGTTTATTTGATCTGGCTAAAATCAGTGAGTGAATGAGTTGATGTTAATATCACTTTGAACAGTTTAAACAATTATTTCACAATGTGATAGCTTAATATTTGCAGAAATCTAAAACTGGCGCGGGTCGTAGACGTTTTCTACTTAGTAACCAATGGACATGGGGATGGCGCCAAAGCACCAAGAATCATTATCGTTATTCTAATTCATAATCAGGATCCTGATAAACCTAAGGGACACAACTTTGCAAAGAAACATTTCAGTGACACGACTAGGGTGCCCGTGCCTCATGTCAGGATGTGACACAGACAAAGACACTTAGAATTGACATAGCTCTGTAGTTGGATGGACAATGTGTATCTTCATGCTTGAGTAATCTAACAATTATTTCACCTGACCCCAACTCCGGGAAATAAACAATAAATTACATATAACCAAGGTATGGGACAAGGATATCACTGGTATATTTATAGAGAATTCAGCAATGTATAAATCATTGCCAGGCGATTTACCACATCTCAATGTATTTTGTTCATTACATTTGTGAAACCCGTGCCTCGTATCAGAATGTGTCTCAGACAAATTCAATCATGAGTATCAGACAGTGTAACATTGCCCTCAAACCACAGTTTACCTACCCTGTGGTTGAAGGCCCAGAACAGCTAGAAAGTTTGGATCAGCTTGGACCGACGGGAAACATATATCGTCACTGTGGATTGCACAGGTGTAGCGAAAAGAAAACCTTGGAAGAAATGCTACAACTGACATCCCACGATAAACTATAAAAGAAGCAGTATATATAGCATCCTGTGACCTTGATGTGCATATTACTACATGAGAGGATAAATAAATTTTGACAAGAGTTTGGAATAATCAGTGAGATGCACACATGCATGTGATACTAGTAATATACTCATTACAATGCAAATTTGTCGAGAAGCTAAAATAAGGGGTCGCATGAATTTAATGGAAAATCATTGGTCATGAATAATATGTTTAACAACAATGTAATATCATAGATACAACCAGAACAACTTCCTGACATCGCCTGGGTATGCTCTAGACGATGGTCAAGGTGGCGCCCCGGAGCCACTTCTCTTGCAGAGATGCAAAGAGTCGGTCCAGATTGTGAAGTGCTGCCGCATAAGTTTGTGACGCTGTTAGTATGTGGCAGGGCGGGCCATATATTTCTTAATTGTATCTCAATACCATACTTGGCTAAAAGTACCTGTCATGTCACTGCAACGCATTTTTAAGACATGCATCGAACTCTAATCCGCGTTTTACATGCTATTCATGGCGGTCCCACTGAATGTAGGCCTTGGGCCCATGTTCATCAAGGCGGTCAGTCAGCTGGCTCACTTTGTTTGCATTCGATGATACCAAAAACATATTTTATTAATTTTATTATGTGTTGGGAATGATTCAATTTGTAGTTATGTACTTTTATGACTTATAGAGAGAATACAAACATTCTTAAAATAACCACTTTAGTCTAATCAAAATAAACTGCTGACTGGTAATTATTACAGTATGAATCTATATGAATACATATTCTTTTTCTGCAGACCAAAAACTGTATCATATTTTCAAAATTACACCGAGGGCAAATTGCAAAAACGGTTCAGTCATCAATGAATCAAACAGGACAGGATACCTGATTTACATGTGGATTCAATTTCCTGTGTTAATCCATTAATAAACATACAAATTATGATTGGACCAAGGACATAACCCTGACGCACACCCAAATCAATCAAACATATCCGAATATATA